AGCATGTGCAAGTTCCCCCCCCCCCCCCGGGGGCGAGGGGGGAGTGGGTCTCCCCCAAACAGGCTACACTGAGGGGCGACCGGGCAAGGGGCGCGGCAGGCATAATTCCCGGAAGAGCGCTGGGCCGGGGCGCACGGCATACACAGACACACACACACACACACACACACACGCCCACGCACTTGGGACTGGGGTACACATTGGAGGGGCCGGCAGCCCTGCAGGCCACGACGCCGGTCAGGGGCGCGAGCAAGGGGAGGCGGGGGGGCGCGGGCAAATTTGCCGGCACACCAGGCGCTCCCTGTGGGATCGGGTTGTCGCATAAACAAACAAACATTGATCTGTGCGACAAATGAATCCGGCTGTCGGGTCGCCGGACGCACGCGAGGCCCTTCACCGGCTTGTGCCACCTACCGCAAGCGTGCACAGACGCACACACAGACGCACATGCCCGACACCCGGGCTGGGCAGGATATGTGGTCGCAGACGCACGACGGGCTAACTGTGGGCTATCAGCCTCGAGACTGGGAAATATCTCGGGAGATTTCTCGCCCACAGGAGAGCCCGGCGATCGCATCGGCCAACACAGATGAACGGCCCGACAATGCAGGTAACTGGGAGAAGGGAAGTCAAGAGACTGGGGGGATAAGCTCGCCATCCAATCTGCAAGAGATTGAGAGAACCGCCCGCGACAAGAAAGCGCCCAGGTGATAGATGGGCGCCCGGTGCTGGGTGCCGGCCCCGGTTGGGGTGGGGCGCCCGCACACGCCGCGAGCCCCACACCGCCCGGGGGGGGGGGGAGGCGGCGGGGGGAAGGATGGGGGTGGGGGGGGGGCGGCTCGGCCCGGTCCGGCCGGGGGGGGATGGAGACATCCCGCCGCCGGCCGGATCGCCGAGCCGCAGATTATACGGTGGGACTGAATTCTAATTGTGGGCTGCGACCGGCCACCCGCGGCGGATCTAATCTCCGATTGGGGCTGAATCTCTCCCATTGGTGGGAGAGATTCCTGGCCGCCACCACCCAGTACGCCTTCCATAGTAGATGCGCTCTATGGGTGAGGGTCTTGGGGCCAGAATTTCTCTGGGGCAGGCGGTGGGGGGGGGGGCATTGGCCAAGAGGAATGTCAGCCCCGCCCCGTCCCGCCCCTGTGTCCCGGGAACTGGGGGGTCGCCAGTATATTGGGGGAGGGGGGGCGGAGAGAGCCAACACATCCGGGGTGCCGCGCCGCCCAAGTCTTGGGAAGATACATCCCCGATAGAGCGGGCGATATATCAAAGCACAAAGACATGCACGGCGGACAGGATCCGGGGTGGCAGGGTGACGATCCCGAGCGAGGGCGAATCGCAGCGGGGAAGCCGTCCTCTGAATTGATAGCCCATGCAAGGAGATGGGCATCGGCGAATGCACCGAGTGGAATGCCCCCCACAGGGCAGAGGGTACTTGCTCTCCTGGGGGTGAGCGGGGGGGGCAAGGAGCCCAGGCCGCGCACACCCAATGGGGCATGCCTCGAAAGAGGGAGAGGGCAAGAGCCCGAGAAGTGCGTAGCGATTGCGCTGGTTTTCTCGCCGGCCGGTGGCGCAGGCACACATGTGGCACCGGGCCACAACCGTGTGGGCCGGCTGGGAGAACGGGCAAATTTTGCCACCCGGCGGCCGGCCCAGGTCGGTACATATGTCACGAAGCCTGGTTCCAGTCGCCCAGGGGCTCCGACGGGCCTTGAATGCACGCCACGCCTTTTCGCTCGGGTGGGAGGCGGGGGAGGAGCGGAAGCCGGCTGGGGGCTGGTTCCCCCGAGAAGGCACACCGGGCACATGTGTGTGGGGGGGGGGGGCATACAAGAACGGCTGGTGGCGCAACAGGATGCCCCCGGCCAAATGGAGGCGGGGGCGGGACCCCGCACACGCGCGGTCGCTTGCTTCATTGTCACTATCCCGAGGGGAGGGGAAGGTATGCGGCATAGGGCCCAATTAGGGCCTCGGAGCCGAAAACGTTCACGAAACACTGTGCACTCGCCCGCGGAGGGCGCGGCGAAGGGGCTCAGGGTGATTTTGGCAGGTATCAAAAGTGCATGACCGCCGCGTCTGCCCCCGGGGGCCAGCGCGCGCATTCGGTCCCCGAGAGCAGGGCAGAGGCCGTGACGCAAGCGGTCGGTTCCCCCAAGGAGGAAGCATGTGCACACACACACACACACACACACACGCTCGCATAGCATGCGCCTTGCTCCTTGTGCCTCCACCCATGGGCGGGGGGGGGCGGGGGGGGCAGCCCCTCTTGGTGGGCGTCGGAATAGACGCGCGCGCACGGGCAGCCCCACGCCGTCGGCCAGGGCCGCTGGGCGTCATCGGTCCCTGGGGGGTCAGACGCGAGGGGGTCGCGACGTCCGAGGGAGCAGATCGGGCGAGGCCACATCGCCACACTTAAAAGGGGGGCAGGGCCAGGTGTCGTGCGTGCGTGTGTGCGCGCCCTCTTCCAGACAGTTCCCATCGGCGAGGCACATGTACTCGGGCGCGCGCGCGCGCAGGATCAGGGGAGATGGTGGGGGATGAGCGACGGCTCGTCGTCGGCCCCGCGGGCCTTCCCACCGCCATTGCACCCCGTGGGATCGTGGGGGATGTGGGGATGTGCCTGCATAAAGACGAGAGGCACCTATGCATGCACGTCCCCACATCCCCCACGATCCCACGGGCTGCGAGGGCATACATGCATTGGTGGGGCCCGCCCGAGCTGCCGAAGGTGGCGTATGCCGGGGGCGGGGGGGGGGGGGGGGAGTGACCCACCACCGGCCGAGACACAGCCCCTTGCCTGGGGAGGCTGAAGCACTTCCGGGCCGGCAGCGTCGCCCGGCAGAAGCACTCGCCAAACCCGGCTGCCGGAAGGGTGCCCCCTCTCCCGGGCGCGCGCGCACGCGGCTTCAAGCGGCGCCACCGCCTGTTAACTTGGCCTCCATGCCTTTGACCGGGGGGGCAAGACGGGACGAGTGTCGCCTGCACACACCGAGCACGCTCACACGCACACACGCATCGCTGTCCCGGACCCCTCGCCCCTACATAAGACTGAGAGGAACGAGGCCGGAGGGTTGAGGCAAGATGGGCAGACCCAGATACACGCGGGTGCATGTAGCGCCCCGTGTGCGGGGGGGAGGGGGGGGGGCGCAATGTCGGTACACCAGGGTACTAACCGCAACCGAATACCAGCCATTGCTATGTTTGAGCAAGGGCGACTTGGCACTGCCGGCCGTCGAAGAGGGAGGAGAAGGAGGTGGCTCCTCGCGAGTAGCTGGTCGTGAGGGGCAAGTCACGAACAACACTTCCCCAGTCTCTGACGCTGGGTGCGGCTCGGTGGCACCGGCCCGGCGGTATGCGGCGAAAAACCAACCGCACCTGGGCATCTGGACGACTACCGGTCGCAAGCCACACCGTCGGGGGCAATGGCGGCGGTGGCGGCGGCATGCGGGTTGTGCCCAGTGTGCAGAGAGACGCGGCCCGGCGGGGGTCATGCGCCCCAAGGAGAGACAAATGACGGAGGGGCCGCCATATACCTTCTCCCGGGGGGGGGGGGGGGGGAGAGAGAGAGAGAGAGAGAGAGAGAGAGAGAGAGAGCCGGATGTCTGATGTTTCCCGTGTGGTAGACAAAGACATGCAGGTCTTTCCGCGGTGTGTACATGCGGCCCGGGGGCCACATGTCGGAAGGGGAGAAAGACAGAGGGACGAAAGGCTCGGGGGACCCCGGCAGACGTCGAGAGGGAAGACAATAACAACCCAGCCATACACACTGCAACCATTCCTCTATCCCGGCCCCGCCCCGCGCTGCTTGTGTGTGTGTGTGTAAAGCAACAAACAGCACACGCCCCGGGCAAATGTGGGTCGGGGGAGATGCACGCGCAAGACAGCGACAACCCTGTGGGCCCTCCCAGGGGGAGGGGTGGCCGGTCGGTCGGCGTAAACAAATATACAGGGCCTGGGGGGGGGGGGGGGGGGG